CATTGTTGGGACTGTTGTCCTCATCTTTATTGTCATATTCATGACGTTTCGGTCGTTGTAGTCTTCTTCAGGATCTGTCTATATTTCTATTTACATTATTTACACTGTTCGGACTGTTGTCCTAAACTTTGTTGTCATATTCACGATGTTTCGGCCGTTGTACGCCCAGGCCTTCTTCAGCATCTGTCTATATTTCTGAGATGCGGTATTGTAATTATTTACACTATTTACATTGTTCGGACTGTTGTCCTCATCTTTATTGTCATATTCATGACGTTTCGGTCGTTGTACGCACCGGCCTTCTTCAGGCCTTCTTCTTATAAACCTATATTTCTTAGATGAGGTATTGTAGCTATTTACATTGTTCGGACTGTTGTCCTCAACTTTACTGTCATAATCACGATTCTTTTCAGATCAAAATCATACTAATAACTAGGTATAAGGATATAAATTTATTGATCCAACCTTGTTAATATCTCTTTTTTTTTCTGTTTTACTTTACTTGTCTATCTTCACGTTTTCCTTGTTCTAATCTGTAATCGCCTTCAAACAACATTTCTCCTTTCCAAAATCTTTATATTTAATCTAATGTCTGTTATTTAATGTTTATTTTTTTTAATTTATATTCTCAAATTATTGGTTTAAAAAAAGAATAACTTTTTTTTTTTTTTTTTTTTTTGTAAACGGCTTCAAGTTTTGTAAACAGCAAAAACCGGAAGTTCTAATCTGATAATATTAATTCAATTTCTGAGCAGGTGTTTCTCCTGATATTTCTTTCCTTTAATTTTTACTGAGCTACGGACCGTAGATTTTATCAAATTTAAGCGGCAGACCAAAGAATGCACTGCCAAATCACGATACAAAAAGAGCTCCTTTCCACCATTCTAAGCCTTCTCAGGAAAATATGGCATCGTATTCCTCTCTATGGCTATCTGCTAGATTGATATCTTGCTATTTGACTGGCCGGCAGCCAGTTTCCTATTTGATTGCTAACTGACTATCTTATTGCTAACTACCGATCTGATCAACTGACAAAACGTTATCTGCTTGATTGCCAACAGACAACAGAGATGACTGACAATTGTCTATGTATTTAAATAGCAACTTGTTATCTGCTAGATTGGCAACTGGCAACCATTATTGTTATCTGCTAGATTGATTAACTGGCAACCATCTTTTTATGCCTGACTGACAACGGTCTATCAGCTAGATTGTCAGATGGCGATCAGCTTGATTGACAACTTCTTACATAAATGATTGGCATAGACTACTTCTTTGACAATTGGCTATCCTATTGATTGTCAACAGACTATTTTTTTAAACGTTTCACCCCAAGCAAGTTGGAAAGCCACTAGCACGCAAGAGGATTTGGAGCGAGAGCAGATAGGAGTGATAGAGGAAAGGATGAGGAGAAGGGTAGTGGATAGATCAAGGCAATTGGAGATGTCGATTGACATTACATTTGAATAGTTGGAGATTATAGCTGTCAGAGAAACAGGAATAGGGAAGGAAGTTCCACAGGCGAGAGATGCGAGATATGAAGCTATTGGTGTACTTGATAGACAAGTGGCTATTTACCATATTTGGTAACTGGTTCTATTCTTGATAGGCAACTGGTAATATGATACGAATGTCGTTTTACAAGTTCTAAGGAGTTGAAGAAACAAGACAGTTTTCACTGTTTTTAATATAGTCTGCCTTGAAATCAATACACATAGTCGATGCTTAATCACTGCGATCACGTCACGGAAGAAGGTCCTCAAATATCACATCTACATCAAATATGAACTAAAATGTTTCTAAAATGGCGACGACGCGGGTAGGATTTGAAACAGAATGAATTCAGATAGAGTTAAGCCTTGTGAGTAAATGGTTTGGCGTACAAATTCAAAACCCAGTTAGCTGCTTCAGCTACTGCAACCTGAACTGTGTGAACGGGCGCATTATCCTGGAGCAAGTGTACACCTGCTGTCAGGTTCTCTCTGCATTTCGATTTGATTGCTTCTTTCGGTTGTTTTAGTTCTGGTGCATGTCCATTAATAGTTTTTCCTTTTCCAGATAGCCTATCACGATTACGCCTTCAGATAAAAAATAGAGAGCCATCTCCTGGCCAACAGACGCTGCCTTCTTGAACTTCTTCGGGAGTGGAGAACAAGAGTATTTCCACAGTTTGATTTAAATCTTTGATTCAGGTTCAAAGTGGTTAACTGATGCCTATGAACTTAGCTATCTGCTGGACAGTAAGATGTCTGTCATCCAAAACCATACGGTGAATGACATCTACTTGTTTATCACTGGTCAAGATTTTGGGGTGACCTGAACGAGGGTCAACTTATGAACTGGGCCACACCTACACAGAAATTAACACAGAAATCTGAATTAGTTTTTCTATTTTTATAAGTGGCAGTTTGTTGGCACAACAAAATTGTTCAACTATGACTCTTCTTTTTTAGTGAGGCTTAGGACTTCTTACCTGCGACTACGACGTGTACCAGTCGATTACTGCTACGATATTCTACTTGGTTATAGTAGCCAAAACCACTTAGATACTTCGTTCAAATCTATCCCTTTCTGGAACATATCATAAATAAATATGAATTAATAATCTTTTGTAAATTCTCAACAACAAAAAATTGTATAGATTCACTTTCATCATATATTTAGTTTTAAAATTTTAATCGCTTTTAAAAACAATAAACATTGACCGAGGAGTGAATGTGCTTAAAATAATAGCGGTGTTAAGGGAAAACCTGTCCTTTTGACACTCCATTATTTTGCAGGCACGTAGGTCGAAGATTGGCCAATAGAGTTTAGTCAGCCAATTAACCCATAATCATTTTGGTCACGGAAGTATATAGGATAATAATAGAAATATGCTCACTTTATATTAATACTTTTATTATTCCCTCTGTAATTGTTCATGTCGTCATCATAAAAAAATTGTGTTTAATATTTTTGTTGTAAATTCTCAATAACAAACAATTGTGTAAATACAATTTCATCATAGCTTCAGGTTTTTATTAAAATTCTAATTGCTTTTGAAAGCAATAAACATTTTCGGTGTAATCTGAATTAGTTTTTCTATTTTTATAAGTGGCAGTTTGTTGGCACAACAAAATTGTTCAACTATGACTCTTCTTTTTGAGTGAGGCTTAGGACTTTTTGAACAACCATCGTAGATTAACAAATGTCTATCTGCTCGATGGAAAAAAGGTCTCTTCTTGATTGACAACAGACAATCTACGTGACTAATATCTGCATGATTGACAACAGACAATCTACGTGACTAATATCTGCATGATTGGCAACTGGCACTGATAAATTGGCAGCTGGTTAAATGCTTGATTAGCAATTGCATATCTGCTCAAATTGGCAACTGGCTATCTGCTTGTTAACAACGCTATCTATTTAATTGAAATTGGCTAACTGCTTGGTTAGCAAATGACTATCTCTTCAATTGATAACTGACTACGTGTTTTATTATCTACTGGTTATTTGATCAATTGGTAACTTATTTCCTGGATTTGTAACTGGCTATCTGCTAAATTGGCAACTGGCTATCTGCTTGATTAGCAAATGGCTGTCCGATCAATTGACAACTTCCTATGTGTTTATTTACTAATTGGCTGTCCGCTCAATTGATAGTAAGATGTCTCTCATGAAATTGGTTATCTAATTGATTAGCAAATTGCTATCTGCTAAATTGGCTACAGGTTCTTTTCGTAATTAACATTTTGCTCGATTTGCAAATGCGTATCTTTTAAATTTGCAACTGGCAACAAGCTATCTGCTAAATTGGCAACAATATTTTCTAATTGGTATCTGGCTATCTGCTAAATTGTCAACTGGATATGCTTCATTTGCAACTAGCTAACCAAAGAGAAGAAGAAAAAGAAGAAGAAGAAGAAGAAGAAGAAGAAGAAGAAGAAACGAGAAAGAATGGCAGTTAATATGAAATAGAGTTTAATACGTCAATAAGTCTAGCCTAATGATAAAAAAAAACATTTCTCATACACAAAAGCATTTTTAGATTTTGCATAATCACTTCCCTTGTCGGCGCTCTTAATTTTATGATCAGTATATAGTCGCGCCAGTCAAACATTATACAAGGAACATTTCAGATTAAAATCATGCTCACAATTAGCTATCAGGCTATAGACATATTAATCCAACCTTATAAATATCTCTTCTTTTCTGTTTTGTTTATTTTTCTAGCGTCATGTTTCGTTTGTTCTAATCTTCAACCGCCTGAAACCAAACTCTCTTTTTAAATTTATATCTTCAAATTATTGCTTTAAAAATAGTTTGTTTTTTTTGTAAACAGTTTCAAGTTGCGAAAAACAGCAAAAACCGAAAACTGACAAATTTAATTCAATTTCTGAGCAGTTATTTCTTCTTATCTGTTTTCCTTTAATTTTCACTGGGTTTTGGATCGGAGGTTTTATCATATTTAAGCGTGTGATCAAAGAATACACTGTACTTTAAGATAGAGAGAAAACACCTATACACCATTCTGTACCTAATCAGGAGCATATGCCTCTCCATAAAGCTGAAAAAAAAAACATCATAAAATTTTCCATTGGTGATGCCATTGAGAACTTGCAATGTCGTTGCCTAGGAAGAATCCAACTTTCTCAGTGACACTCTTTTGAGGTTCAGATAAGAGAAATGCGGCAAACAGAAAGGAATAATACGTTGGAATTATTCTTGTTAGCGATAGTCTCGTGTTACTTTGCGTGACGTCTCGAAATAAGAACGCTAGTGTATAACGGTCGATTGGGCTTTCGGTAAGTTTCTTTGTCGATCGGGTCTGTTGGTGAGAGAGGCTTAGTGTTGAATGTTGCTTGTACCATTGGAAAGAAAGAAATAAAGAAAACAAGGAAGGAGGAAAAGAAAGAAAGAATGAAAGAAAGAAGGAAAGAAAGCGAGCAATGAAGAAAGAAAGAAAGAAAGAAAGAAAGAAAGAAAGAAAGCGAGCAATCAAGAAAGAAAGAAAGAAATCAAGGAAGGAAAAAAAATAAATAAAGAAAGAAAGAAAGAAAGAAAAAGAAAGGAGGAAAGAAAGCGAGCAATGAAGAAATAAAGAAAGAAAGAAAGAAAGAAAGAAAGGAATGAAGAAATAAAAAAGGAAGGAATAAAGAAAATAAATAAAGAAAGAAAGAAAGAAAGAAAGAAAAATGAAAGAAAGAGCAATGAAGAAAGCAATCAAGAAAGGAGGAAAGAAGGAAATCAAGAAAGAAAGAAAGAAAAGAAAAAAAAATCAAGGAAAAGAAAATAAATAAATAAAAAAGAAAGAATGAAAAGAAGAAGGAAAGAAAGGAGCAAAAGAAATAAAGAAATAAATAAAGAAAGAAAGAAAGAAAGAAAGAAAAAAAAAGAAAAAGAAAGAAGGAGGAAAATAAAAAGAAAGAAAAAAGAAAGAAAAATAAAAAAAAGAAAGAAAAAAAAAAGAGGAAAAAAGGAGCAATGAAGAAAGAAAGAAAGAAAAGAAAGAAAACAAGAAAGGAAAATAAAGAAAGAAAAAACGAAAGAATGAAAGAAAGGAGGAAAAAAGAAAGGAAGAAAGAAAGAAGAAAGAAAGAAAGAAAGAAAGAAAGAAAGAAAGAAAAGAAAGAAAGAAAAAAAAGAAAGAAAGCAAGAATGAAAGAAAGGAAAAGAAAACAAGGAAGGAAAGAAATAAATAAAAAAAAAAAGAAAGAAAGGAAAGAAAAAAGAAAAGAAAACAAGCAAAGTAAAGAAAAAAAAAGAAAAAAAGAAAAAGAAAGAAATAAAAAAAAGAAAAGAAAGAAAGAAATAAAAGAAAGAGCAATCAAGAAAGAAAAAACAAACAAACTAACAATAGATTGAATAAATTGGGTATATATATATATATATATATATATATATATATATATATATAAATAAAGAAATGAAAGAAAGAAAGAAAGAAAGAAAGAAAGAAAGAAAGAAAGAAAGAAAGAATAAATCCTGCTTAATAATATGATAAAAATTGGCTTTCGCTAATTTTGGCGATCGGGCTGTCGATGAGAGTAGCTTCGTGCTAAATGCTGCAAGAAAGAAAGAAAGAAAGAAAGAAAAAAAAAAGAAAGAAAGAAAGAACGAACGAAAGCATGAAAAAAAAAGAAGTAAAAGAAAGAAAGAAAAAAATGAAAGAAAGAAGAAATTTAGTTTTGTTTCAAGAACTTTCCTTGGACGTCTGGAATAGTCTTCTTTAACTTCTTTTATTTCAGTATTTTGATCTGTATAACGCCAAGATATTTATAATTCTCTCCCTTATTCAAAGATTTCATGATCAACAGTGGTGCTCCCTTAAACTCGACCATAGTTTCTCTCTTGATGGGGTAGCATATTATTATTATTATTATTATTATTATTATTATTATTATTATCATCATCATTATAATAATAATAATAATAATAATAATAATAATAATAAAAACACAACATCTCTGCTCGGTATCGTTTAGTACTCTTCACGTACCCGTCAGTAGCGTACAGAAGATGTGATGGCCCCGGGCATCCATATCAGGTGAGCTTTCAATCAAAGAGTGAAATAAAAATGTATTTTTTCTTTGTTTAATTTGAAATTGTCTGCTAACTTCGTTGTACAAGCTCCCTACAGTCCCACGAGCTGGCGTGAATGTGGATCCGTGTTTTGATAACCTCCCCACCCCCTAACTCCGCTGCATGAGTCTTAGGGGCAAAGAATCAAGGAGTTGGCCCCGGGCATCACCAAACCCCTACACGTCACTGATGCCCGTTCTTTTTTTTTTTTTTTTTTTTTTTGTATTGTTTTGTCATTTTCGCTTGTTTCTTGTTAGTTGAGCTAAAGTATGTATATATAAAATTTCACTTCCTGGTCCAGAGACTGAACTTACAAATAGATGACAACACTACTTAATTAACCAAAGTTTTATCGTATTATAGTCGTCAATTCATATACGTTCGATAATTCTGCCGATAACCTCAGATTCGCTTCATTTTTGAATCATTTTTATTCGTTGTTATTTTTAGATGAGTATTTTTCAATATACTTATTTCATTGATTTTTATATATATATATATATACCCAATTTATTCAATCTATTGTTCTTTCTCTGGATTGTTACAGACAACGTTTCGATCGATATCCCTCTAGTCATCTTCAAGTGTCCATTATATTGGTTCATATGGTATTTGTATATATTGATTTTTTTTTAAAGAATAGCATTGGAACGAAAAATAGCACACTCATCAATGCATAAGAAATATCCCAACTCAGCGAAAATAATGGACACCTGAAGCTGGCCAGAGGGTTCTCGACTGAAACGTTGTATCTACAACAATCATGAATGTGACGAATAGTTTGAACAAGAAGGATAAGTCGAAGTATTTTCATAATTTCTCATCTAAAAAACTCAAAAAGTTATTAGTTATATTCGATTTTATTATTGTTATTATTATTATTAGTAGTAGTAGTAATAATATATTAAAATACACCTGGACGAGTCAGACACAATTATTACTAATCTTTTTTTTCCGTTTTTTTAATTATTATCATTGTTTTTTATTATGTGACGTCACCCCGGCCTCTCTGCCCCCGTGCTATCCTGTGACGACCAATGTGACTTGGTATTGGTCGCGGTACCAAATGTGACGTGAACTTCCTGTCAGGGCACCAAATATGACCCTTTGCTGATTCGGATGGGAATCTGGTTAGATTCGGTATCAGATTTGTCGTTCCCAGCTCCCCTCTAACGTCTGGTTACCGAAGTAACTGCTTTGATTTCTAGTCTAACCTACCCACGTTGTAATTTGATCTTAGGTAGACGAAATCAATCAGTCGCCGGCCCGCAATTCAAGCCGAATTCGAGCAAAGGTGACATCGCACAAGTATATGTCAAAGAAACTAAAGTAACAACTCGAAAAGTTCAAATGTGTTAAAAAAGAATAACAAATATTTTTATATCTGGTTTCTGAATTCAGGACTGCTTCTTTATCCCTACCCGCTAATATGGATACGTGACACTTTGCGTTTGTTAGGCGAGTCTTAATATCTTAAGTTGTTTTTCGATAACTGTTTTTTTGTATCTTCAGGGGATATTTGTAAAACTTGTTTTGGTGGTGTGAGTCTTAAGTCGTTCTTCAAAAAAAAAATTGTTTTTGGTTAGAAGTCGAAGTCGGAATGTGTGGATCTTCAGTCAGCTTTCTGCGAGGCTGGTCTCAGAGCTCACAGCTCAACTTTGTCTGCGTCTGCGTCTCCTCGGAACTCTGCCGAACTCTCTAACTCCAACTACTCGCTGCGGGTCTGTTTATATGGACGCCGACCAAAACCGGATGTGGGCTTGTTGTGGTTTGGGTTCCTCGATAATTCTAAATCCACAATAAGGATTTTCTTTGTTTTCGGACAGGAAAATTTATCACTTTTCATTTTTGGAAGTCCATTACTTTGTGCTTTAGAGGGGTTCTTAAGGGAATAGTCCTCCCAAATTCTTCCTTTCTTATATTGGTATCTCACACCAATCCCCTCAGAGGGCGTCAACAGGTTTCCCTTCTTTCTCATAGTGGTATCTCACACCAATCCCCTCAGAGGCCTCAACAGGTCTCTCCTCCTTCTCATATGTTTACCTTCACCCATTGCTCACGCCACCATTCAGCCAATGAACGCTCAGCAGCATGGGTGTGGTTAGTCTTGGCCTCAGTTTAAAATTATCGCTCAAAGGAAAAAAATTATCTTCCTTTTTTCTTTTCTTTCTTTTCCTGCACCAGACTCCTACGACTCGTAATGTGGTCCTTAATCTCTATCTTAACCGAATGTCATCTGGAATTTATCAACGAGATTTTCGTCAAGCGTTAAATGGGTGGTCAACTGGACGTCTTCGCACCCTGTCGCCAATTATCTGTCCCGGTAACAAACTTTCATCATGTCCAGGTCTGGACAATAAAACAGGTGGTCTCTTTCCAAAACGAATGATATCTCCGAAAGATAGTTAATGGTTTATTCTTTCCCTTTCTCTCTGGGGTGGCCTCAGCTGATGCCTTTCTCGAGCAGTGCGTGACCTGATTACGATTATCTTTCAGCTTCAGTTTCGTAGGCCACTTGACCAATTTGAAATTTTCATTATTGACATGGGCAGATTGCTATCTTTTATTCGCCGCGTCGAGGCGTAAATTAATTCCGACAGATCCGAGATCTTACGAATTTCCTATCTTCTGCGACAAAAAAAAAATGCTTTTCTTCGCAAATGAAAATAAAATCTTTACCACTTTTCTTTATTAAAAAAAATAACATCGCTCAGTATGTCTTTCGTGATAGCTTCTTCTCGCCTTAATTATTTCTCGCTTTTAATTTTCACGCAACCGCTAAATAGTGTCACAATTAATATACACTGGGTCGAGACGTTCTTCATTATCACTATTATTTATTTATAGTCTTACTCCATCTTATTCTCATTGCTTTTTCTTAGAATACACTTAGTCGAGGCACTCTTCATTACTACTGTTATTTTATTAGAGTTTTACTGAATATCATCGTCATTTATTTTTCTTAGAATATACTGGACAAGACACTCTTCATTACTATTATTATTTTATTATTATTTTATTATTGTCTTCAGTCAGTTATGTGCCATGCGTGATACACACTTAGGCGATCATGTATCGAAAGATACATGACTGACGACGCAGATTTTTTCCCGCAGTAGGTTGCCATTTCATTCTGCGGTAGACTAGTTGCCATCCGAGTGTATAGAACCCGGTCTGTCCTGCTATTTTCCCCATTACTGGGGGGAGGGGGGAGAAGAAGAGTAGCACTTACGTTCTAATACCCTTAGAAAAGGGTATTAGCAGGTAATTGAATGTAATGGTTTCGACTGGAATTCGAACTTGGCTCTCCAATTCCTTAATGCGAGCCGCTATCCATTACTCCACCGTGCCTCCAAATAATTGTATTAACATAGTCTTATTACAGCTCATTATATTCATTTTTTTTTGTTTTTTTTTTTTATAGTATACCCTGTCTCGAGACACTCTTCGTTCTTACTATTATTTTATTTCAATTATTTGTCCATTCCAATATTGTTTCTTTCATCGCAATATTCTGTTTCGGGACGCTTCCTTATTCCTATTATTGTATTGCTAATTATTTGCCACATAGTAATACGTTTACAGTTACAACAACTAGACTATTGACACAGAATGTTGCGATCCGTAGCAATAATAAAACAAATAAATTAGTAGTTATAACAGGAAGTACTTAAAAAAAATAAAACAGCAGTATGAAGAAAGGAAAGATTTTGTTTTAAATGAAGTAACATTAAATGGAAATGAGCGAATGAAGAAAGCAATAAATATCACTAAAATCGATACCAAGATGGAGAATGAAAATGATACAAGACTGGTTAACTCAACGAAAAACGTCAAAATGAGTAAAACAGAAAATACATGACCAGATACTGAAAGAAGCATTTATTATTGACATTTTTGTCATATTTGCTCCTGATGGTACAAAGATTTATTACTGACAATAAATAAACAGACGATCAAAAGACTTCAGTCGAATGACTTGCAAAAAATAAAAACACGATTTCAAATATGGAAAAGAGGTCCTCACTATTTCTGTTATGGATTCTACTATTAATTGCGAGAATTATTATTATTATTATTATTATTATTTTATTATTATTTCTTACATTAAAGCCCTTCTTTTTATTTTTACATGTCCGAAAAATTTTTTTTATCTCCTGAGCTGGACTTGTCCGAACAATTTTTGTATCTCCTTGAATCCATGGAGTCCTAGGAATCAACTTCACATTAGTCTTGTTGATGTTCCCATATGCCACATTTTCGAGATT